CCGAATTTGGGTTACGTGCAGTGTGCAGCTTTTGGTGCATGTCGAGCTTTTGCACCACAGAAATTGCATCATTCGTGATTACGCGTTTTACCTTACGAGATGGGTTGCAGTTGACTGTATGTGCTCCCAATGAATAAAATGTGATGAAGGAGAGCAGAATTATTTATGGGCACGAGCGCGGTCAGCAAAAAGTACATGCAGTTCCGATTAATGCCCGCCGTCCCAACAAAGAACAACTGAGCGGCTCTCCGTCAGAGGGCAGTGGGGCGGTCCAACTGAGCGGGCGTTAGAACTAGAACTTTGAGCGGCTGTAGCTCGCTCCTCGCTCACTGTGGAGTCGCGAGAGTGGGACAGTATCTAGCTTGGGGGTGAACTCACAAGAAAGGACGACCATGAACTACTTGAGCGCGAGGGCTCTTTAAGGATCGCCGTTGCGACATCAGAATGACTTGACTCCACATTTCTTGTATATATCAAAGTGTGTGTCGCACGGAGAGCTCGAATGTTACCACCGACAGGACGTCCCACTCCCAATTGTTGGGTTCCCTCCTTATTTTGCTTCAGTTGCGACCGCCACCTCCTAACACATCACATAGCAGGCAGATTTGCGAAAATTTTTTGATTGGTGAATTTCTCGATTTTCCCGTTTCAGCGCTATATACCCCCCCCCCCCCCGCTCGGACACCCATTGATGCATCTGAAAAACCTCAGATACTTTCTTGGACGACCCTTAATTCGGAGGCAGCCACCAATCTTGATCCTCTACATTATCTACCTATTGGGCGGTAAGAATTGATAAAAATGTAGCAGCAAGGGTATCCTAAGCGTTCTTTTGTTCGATTGGTGAAAAATTACCGTGTCACCCGTTCATCATATGCCTCATCACAGAATTTCCAGGTGTTGTAGGCGTGAAGACCTGGAACACGACGTATCATGACTGCAGCTTCCCTTGTCACCCCTTATCAGTAGTTATCGCTTCCAGTCAACCACAGCTCATGTCCCCATCTCACCCACTATATCACTTGCTGAGACGTACGCCTCGCTGATGCTTGTCACCGTGCGGCATGTGAATATCGATGACCTCGACCTTTCTAAGTAGCCCTTATCGGATCTTAACAGTAGCTTACAGTTCTTGTCACCCACCAATAACGTTTTTAGCCCATACCCCTTATCATATCTTGGAAAAGAGCTAGCTGGTGCTGCACGCCGCGTTATTAACTAGTTGGTATCTTCGGCCTTCTAAGCCCATGCACGCTTTATCGAATATAAACTGATACCCACCTCCTGTCACCCATCAATAGGGTTCCCGCCACATCTCCTGCAGCAATCCTTGGAAGCAATGTCCTTTTCCGACGAAACATTTGTGATCAGTTCACGAGGAAGATACATCGTGAACAGTACTGCGAACCTCTCCCTGGGCGAAAAGATTATATATGAAAAACCAATTCGAGCGCGACTCGAGACTTCTAGTGGAACTCAGGTCATGACGCAATCATATCATTCAGTATGGCACATACCTCTCGACAGTGTTCAGTACTGATACTCCGTCAAAACCTCCGACGGCATATAAACAGCCATTGAGCGCGGACACAGAGTGATCTTGTCGACGGGTATCATAGGTGCCACAATGGTCCATATGTTTTCCCGAGGGTCATACCTGCAATGACGTACATAATACAATGAGCGTAAGTGGGCCATACCAGTTTTTACCGTTCAACAACATCCAGAGTCGTCGTTCCATCTGACCCACCAGTTACGTAAAGGAAGCCGTCCAGTTTAGTCGCTTTGTGGTAAGCTCGACCCACAGACATTGGCGCGATGTCAGTTGCAAATTGATTAACAACAGGAACAAATCTTAAGCTCTCTTTCAAAAGCAGTAATCGATGATTGTCTTCTAGACTCTACTAAGATCGCTATTGAAGGTGATGCAGTGGTGAACGGCCCGCTAACATGCGCGTGGTCCGGGAGTCAAATCTCGGACCTACTCACCCCTAGGCGAACTGTGCCTTCCATTTCAGGGGATGGGGGAACGGATCCCTGATTCGTCTCACAGGATAAAAACGCTGAGTGAGCGTCGGCTGGCCCCCAGGGGTCTTTGTATAGTATGTACTGGGTCGGGCCATGTGTAGTGACATTTTTTCACTCGAAATGTGGTGTTGGAGGTGAAGTTCTGTCATTATGCTGTTCTGTAGAGTATTTCTTGCCCTATGCAGTGATCCTCAGTTTTTTCCCTTTTCACTAATATTCAAGCGCTCAAACTGGAGCGTCAGATTGACGAAATCGACCATTTTCGACAGCCTCTGTTTTTTTTTGCATCTAACTAGATAGCTGAAACCGTACATGCCTAGCTAATAAGTGTGGGGCCGTATGTCTCTTAAAAAGTATGTCTCTCAAAAATGCTATGTCTCTTAAAAATGCTTATATCGGTTGAGATGATTCGAAGATTTCAATGTGGACCTTACAGACAACCATCGAACCTAATGCTCTATTGAGCCCAACTTTCGAGCTTACCCAATCGTCTCATTCATGGGACTACATGCCAAAGAATTAAAAATCGTTAGAGGTCACTGAATTCTTCTTTACATCGAGCATCACTCTCGGTTAATGCTGGACGTTCGAAATTTACTGGAAAGTTTCTGCAAGCAATCGCTCCCCAAGAAGCCCCTTCCCCCATGCGGTGCACATTTACAACCTCCTAGTAGTTCCCACACCTTGATCGTTATACACCTTCGAGCTGGCATAAAAAGCATCATTCCTTTATTACAAATATCAATTTTAGAGCTTCTTCTGTAATTTGAGAGCCGAGATAAAGTGCAAAAAGTTGTTGTCAAAAACTCACTTTTGTGTCGACCCGACACTCCATTTCAATGAAATAAAAATGGACAGAAATCAAGAAATAGTAGGAAGGCACTCATCTTACAGTGTGGAAAATTGTCTATCGAATGGCACAGGACATACTGGGAACGATACAGTCCTCATCATTACGGACTGTCGGGGCGTGTCAGTGCGGCTGCGTTTGGCGCGGTGCCAAAGTCGTTCTGCACCAGTTGTTGAAGCGGGCAAGTGACATTACTGTATTATATCCTTCGTATTACTCGTTTTCTACCACTTTTTGTCGCATACGCGTTTCAACAAAAAGGCTGAGAACGGCTTCAACAGTGTGCACACTCATACTGGCTGACACGCCCCACCGGTCCGCAATGATGAGGACTGTACTCACTTTTCATATAAAAATTTCTGTAAGATAAAAACGCCATTATTCGTGGGCTTACCCAGTATATTGTATTAGTATGAATAATGGAATTCCTCGAGCGGCCCTTAGTAATGTATATTTTCGTCCCACAGACCACTAGAGTGCTATATGATGGGTTGTCTGTGTTCGAGGAGCACGATGAACATCACACCATTCGTTCCGAGCTCTCACGAGGAATCTGACCATGGCGCAGCGGTCCTGGTCTTCAGTCGTGGACGGAGCTCTGAACTCCTTCTTTCACTTCCATGTAGCGGGAAACTCCAAGCATCGCCCTTTCGATGGCGCGTTGAATGACGCGACGGCATATTCTTCCTGCTTTTGTACAGTACAAGTCTTCGAGGCGTAAATTAGGGCAGGAAGGACCACGGAATCGAAAAGGTGTACATGAAACCAGAACTTCGTTCCGTTAAAGGCAGTTGACACAATAATTTGGTACTCCGTCCGAAATGGTAGCAGGGGTGAAATGACGAAGAAGCGAAGTGAAACGGTCAAAAACCTGCAGAAAAAGGCCATTGTTCTACACGACCAAGGAAGTTACCAATCCCTTCGCTTCACATTTTACTTCGCAAAGGAAGCGATACGAGCATCAGCATCGGTCGGACATTTGTGGGCGGGCAAGGCGCGGTGGGCGTCCGGGTCGGTATGTTACAGCCCAATAAAATGAGTTCCTGGGGCTAGCCGAAGTAGAAGTCAGTATTTAGCCCTGCCAGACGAATTCGGTACCGATTGTGGTTATTGAAGGGTAGAAGGCTTGGCTGGATAGGACGTGAGCGGATCAGGCACTTTACTACCGGACTGCTCACTTGGTAAGCGTAAAACATGCCATTGCACCACCTTCGCCTTAAAAAATACAAAAAATGAAGAAAGCCATGCGTAGTACCTCTCAGTGCTATCCAAATATGTTTCGCCATCCAAACCGCCAATAACGTAGACGAAGCCGCCAAGGAAACCGATGCTGGATCCACGTCTAAACATTGAAGGCGATTTTTTAGAAAACTCATACACTTTTTGGTGACAAATTCCTTTATTTCTTGAGGATGGGACCCTTTCCGTGCTCAAGAAGCGCAGATCGCAGCCGCATATGGGGCACCACTTCGCCATTCGGAGGTGCGTGTAAGAACATCAAGAAATTGTGACTTGATTAGGGTAATTTCCCCCTTGGCAAGGTCTGGTTTTCACCGCAGTGAGGATCCACAGCGAGAGGGTCAGAGCACACCATCGCGTTTGTAAGATCTGCTCAATGCGACCCTCCTTCTCCTCTCTCGGAGGGTCTCGGTACGAGCCCTCACCCCAAAAAAGGGGTGGTTACCGAACCGTTTCCTTGAACTTCGAACGACCTTTCCCTCACAGTCGAATACTCCCTCGACCCCCGTCAATTTCCACAACGATCGTGGGCCATGGAGGGTAGGGGGTCGCATTAGGTTGCTGGAGAGAGGGGATGAGTAGTATTTGCCCTCGAGTAAGATGTTCTCGGTTTCGGGTTTTCATTTCAAGTGCGCTATATACCTCCCGTTTGGTAGCAGTTTTTGTAGGAGAAAGGGGATTTCGGAAAACAATTTTGGGGAAAAACACTAGAAAATAGTGGGAAGTTGAGAAAATTCTGGAAGACGGTAGGTAGCGTCAGGAAGAGGAGGGGGAGCGTCGTCTCCGAGGAGGAAGTTTTAAGGGAGAAATAGGAACTTTAAAAATGTTTTTTCCAACAGCTGAACGTGCCCTGCTTTACCCCCAGTACGTATACAGTGGGACCAAAAAAAGACACTTTGGCCGAGTCACATGTCAGTAAAATTCACGCAGCCGAGGACAGGTGGATACGAGTACCAGGGCGGAAGATACCCAAGATGTTCCTCGATAAGCAGGAGCTGGCTCTCGCCCATCACCTTCATGTACACCAAAATATGAAGCCATCTCCAATCGCAGCCGGACTGAAGAAGGCCTATGGAATTCACGTCACCTCCAAACATCTGCGAAACTCTTCGCACGGAGTTACCCCATGAGTAGGCTAGCTGGGAACAGCACACTTCATCTGAAAGACCTCCAACAACGAGCAGCGTCGCTACGGTCCAGGATATCATCTTCACCGCAGTCGCCAAGGCGCGGGTTGATGGTATGGACCGGAAGTTCCTGGAATGGGAAGACCGATATTTTCTTCGTGGACCCCGGACTGAAAGTGAACGCTGACGTTACATCGAACAGCTCGAGGAGAATATCCTGCCTTCATTTCGTCGCCTGTACCGTCTTGGAAACTTCGTACTGCTACAGGATTGGGTGCCACCACATGGAATCGAAGGGCGTTGGAAAAACTCTCGCCTACTTGGAATCGAAGGGCGTTGAGTACCTGAAGAAGACGGAATATCCAAGTGTGTCACCTGACCTAAACCCCCTCTATTACTAACTTCCGCTCTTCCGATCTCACCGGGTTTCGCACGGAGCTCAACGGGATGGTCTACACTGGCGGAGAAATCAACGACTTTGCTGAATCAAGCGCTGAATCACAGATCGGGCAGTCACTCGACGGTGCTCATCCAGAAAGCGTGGCGTGGCGAAGTTTCGTGATGTGTTCAATATGCTGTTGAATTTGACGGTGAAAATGTTCAATCAGAATTTAATATCGCCTTGAGAGTCAAGGGAGATAAATGTCTTTTGTGCCCCCCTCTACATCCAATTTTTGATCTTTTGCGGGTCACCGATGGCTTCTGCTATAGCCTACTGCTACTTCAGTGGTGATTAAACTGTCACTGACAACATCATGTTCAGATTATTTGTAACTATCAACGACTTGCGACATGCGCCTTCAAAAAATACTGTACCTTTCTCTGCTCAGGGGCGCAACCTGCTGCCACAAGGGGATCGCTTCTTGGAGATCGAGGCGCTCCAGATACCATAAGGTTTCTTCATCACGTCTTCTCACTGAAAAAAAAGTTACAAGTTTTAAAAAAGTTAAAAAAAATTAGTTAAAGTTAAAAAAAGTTGGTTAATAAAAAAAGCCAAAGAATCAACGTTTGCTGTACTTAATCATACCCCGGTAAAAGACTCCAGTTCGAATCATCACATCTCGCAATTGAATGCGCGGTCCCTGAATGTTTGCTCGTACGGGTGTAGACAGCTGCAGACGATGGTAGGTCTGAGAATAGCAAACAAGCAACAATGTAATCAGTCAATAGCTGAGATCCTCTGGGAGATAGGGTCAAGCATCGAGTCGCGGAGGATTACCCGGCCGCTCACTCTTCTCTTGAAGGAGCGTCCTTAGAACCCCCTTATTCCCCTCATCAGCTAACTAGGTATTTGCTAATTTCTGCGATTGTCTGCGCGTTTTTAGATGGGAGCGCTATTGACAAAGCGGATTTCCATTCAAATTCTTCTCGAA